CCTATATCCACACCACGTACTTTCTCGGCCCAGATCGACCCCCAAACCATAATGGAAATGTTGGCTTTAACATGGTTCTTAAGGTTCACGAATTCCTTTTTGAATTTCTCGCTCGGGTAACGAAAAACCCACGCGGTTGGGCTCGAGGAGGAGTTTTGGCAGGAGGACTCGTCGGAGTAGATCATCTGTGCTGTTAGCTATGGCGCGTCGACAACTTTGTATGCACGTACCGCCTTCACCTCGTCCAGGTTCTGTAATCCCCAGCATGCAAAGGCATATCTGGCCCTGGCGTCCTCCTTGGATAATGGGATTCTTTTCTGGGACCTCCATTTCCGGAGTTTTTCCTTCTGGAGTTGCCGTCGCACCGTAGATTTGGATACATCAAAGGGTAGACCTCGGATTACATCTCTCCACGACGCGTTACGGTTCCTTTTGCAAATTGTAAGCATGCTACGTCGCTAACGGTCCGTAAAACCCTTACGCCCTCTGCCAGGTCTTTTCAAAAAAGATTTGTAAAGTTTAAGCTGGTTTTTCCAGCGTTGAATGGAGGAGCGGCTGGTACGAAAGCGACGCGCGACTTCGCGTTAAGACATTCCACCATAGTGTAGCCCCAACGCGAAGGCCTTTTTCTTCGGGGAAAAGTCCATACCGGGCTTCTGATCCCGTAGAATGGGATTCAAGATTTCGTCTAGTTCATCGGCCATTTTAAACGTGTTATGGTAAAAAAGAAAAGAAGGTGTAAGTCGCGTATACCACGCGTAACGCGACTTTTTAAGTGGGTGGACCGAGTAAAATTGATACCCCACTGTATGCATCTTCTCTGCCACATCTCAACTTGGGAGGTCTCAATAGCGTTGACGCTATAGCTCGTTAGTCTGGACCGTTGGGCAACTTTCCCAGACCCCTGAAACCGACATACGAACGTAGATTCTGCGCTAGATATGATGGATAATCCAATGGTTTATCGTACACTTTGAATGTCCCCAGGGACGTGTCAATGAAAGTGGTGCTCATGGCAGCTTCTGGGGCGTGGTCCTCCTATTACTTCAAAATAGGAACGACAGTGGCTTAGCGTTGTCAAAGGACTTCGCAATGTTGCTTCTGCTGCATTGATAAACTTGATTTGTTTCATTGGTGCTGACGACCAATAAGAGCCCGCGATGGCTAAGCCAAGATTGGCAATGGAGTGAGGAGACTAGGAGGATCGTACAGAGTATACCAAGTCCAAACTTCAGTCCGAGGCCCAAAGTGGGACACAGAGGCCTGTTGATGTTGATAATCTGACAGGCTGTAAGAAGGCTGCTCAATACCTATCTAGACTCTTCGAGACATTTCATACACTGTCTACACATTGCGTGCAAGATAGCAGAGAGAGTCTAGACCACCATATGTAGCGGTGCAATGCTCTAGGCACCACAGTATGTAGGTTGGTTACCTACTTAGTGCTGGGGCTGTTGTAGCATTAGAATATAGCGCATGCCATCTTGACCCAATAAAGATACATGTTTGAGGGGCCCAGTGGTTGCGGGTCCGAGTTCCATTCTTTAGCTACTCAAATCACTATCTCTTGATAGGCATCTGAAACATGCGAGTCCGTCAATCGAATGAACATGTAAGTTGGCTTGGCGGGGAATTGTTGACATTACGCAAGCTAGAGATGCCACTGTTCGGGGCCTTGAGCAAGTGGGTACATGATGGACTTGATCCATACGTACGTGGTGTGTAGAACTACGGTGGATGGGTATCTATCCTTATGGGTCCAACACTCGGCTGGAGCCTTACTACCTTTTACAGCTAAATTAGTAGGAAAAAAGACCAGATGGAGACTACTACCGTGTATGTCCTGCCTTGAAATCCTTGTTATGCACAGCAAGGTAAGCATTGTCAGTCCGGGTAGCCGATGTTGCCGGGGGTAATCTAGTTTAGACAACCCGTGAAGGTGAAGGTGACACTTTCCCACGATGAGCCAATGAGCAAGCTGGCGGATACCGGCCATGCTCCGGGACCACAGACGGCGCATAGTCTTTGGTCTCGCTACAGGTCTACAGCCATCGGTGGAACGGCTGATGCCAATCGGATGAATTGTGCCCTCTCTCTTTCTTCTCCTCTTTTTAGATCCAGCGTGTGTATGGAGACATGATCATGTCCACTTTGTGGTGGTCTAAATCATGTCACAATCCCTGGTCTAGAACAACGTTCCTGAAAATAAGGTGAAAACAACGTGCTCATTCGAGATGTGTGACGGTCTAGAACATGAACAAGCATTTGGGTTGTTTACACGATGAATGATACAGTGGCTAACCCTCAACATGGCGCTAATACCTAGACATAGCTGGCTGCCGGATCAACATTGATTGGTCGCTTTTTTGTTGTAGTTGCCCTGGATGCCTCCAGGGTCGTTGTCCATCTGCAAGATGGAAAGATGAGCTAGAGCTTGCTAGATTGATCTTGCACAAGCAGTTTCTCGAGACCATTTCTCAATTGGTCGTTCATCCCACTGGCGCTAGGTCTCAGAGTTGCGCGCTCCACAAAGACGTGGACAAATTCGCCAACGGCCTTCACTCCGTCGACTCCCTTCTCAAAGAGGCCGACCTCGTAGGTGACGCTAGACTTGCCCAGCTTGTTCACCCGAAGGCACAGCTCCGCAACCTTGGGGAAAGAGATTGCGGAGAAATAGTCGCAGTGGGTATGCGCCATCAATGGGTGTTGAGACGAAGTTGGCGGCTCCAGTCCACAAAACTCCATCAGGTACGAGTTGATGACTGAGTCGAAACTGTTATGTTTGATCAGCTCTGGGATTACTAGCAGCAGGAGGAGGCGGCGGCGGCGGAGGAAGAGAGTCTGCCTGCCTAGGCTTACAGAAAGTTATAGATGGAGTTGTTCATATGATCGTACATGTCATTGTCGGCCCTGTGAGTAGTCAACCAGTGTGTCTATGACTTTCGTGGTACGTCGCCTCATGCCTACCATCGCGTCCGATATTCCAAGACATATGGGTAATCCTGCCGGCGTCGCTTCTTGAGTTGGTTTGCGGGGCTCATGATTGCCGGTGACAATGACTCGAGCCCGTTCTTTGCTCTCTTTGGACTTGTCGAATTGACGGAGACGACACTTAAATTCCAAGGCGATAGAAACGAGTGATTGACGAAAAATACTATGCAATGCAGTTTGCTGCAAACTATATGGCGCCTTAATGCGACAGTAAAGGACTAGGATTTGTTCTGTATTACAGATGGATACCGGTGCTCAAGCCGAGGTCCCTTGATGTTCTCAGACAGTGCCGACCAAGAAGGGAAAGCATATGTGCTCAGCTGCCAGCAGCTGCAGCTACTGAGCAGTAGCTTGGTCGCTGGGATCCACTCTGAGGCTCCAGAAATGTGCCCCCAAAGAAATTTTGCCTGGCTGGCCGAATCAATGCATTACCAAATCAGACAAAAACAGCACACTTCAGAAGAGGCCGTTGTAGGGACGCCGCGAGCAGAGGGTACGCAGGGTTCTTCTTCGACCCTTTGTCTTTTGCCAAAGACGCGACAAAGGCCAAAAGAGAGACGATCTCAGCGTGGCGGTTTACCAGAGGCTGAATACCTGGTTCGCCAGGGGATTTCAAATTTTCAGCCACGTAATAATGGAGCCCACTACTACAGCTGCAGCCTCGCCTGCTTCCTTGACGCCGGAAATTCTAGCTCAAAAGGCTCGAGAAAAGAGGGCCAGGGTCGCGCGCGCGGGTGGAAAACAACGAGCATTATTGGCCGCCTCTGTCGACGACGACGTCTGGCCACGACCGTACGTCATCGAGGGCGGTTTGCGGCGTGTAGAGCCATACCACTATACCTACAACACCTGGTGCAAGGAGCGATGGCGCGGCAGGACGCTCTTTGAGATTTTCGAGAGTGAATTCAGAGACCGACCTGTGGAGTACTACAGGGAAGCCATGGCTGCAGGCAAGATCTTGATCAATGGAAAGCCAGCAAGTGCCGATTACATTGTCAAGAATGGTGATCTGGTTTCTCACAAGATCCATCGTCATGAACCTCCTGTGACAGCTGAAGACGTGGTCATCATTCATGAAGATGAAAAAATGATTGTCATCAATAAGCCCTCCGGAATACCAGTTCATCCTGCAGGCAGGTACAATTTCAATTCTGTTGTTGAAATGATGAAAGAACAACGTGGCCGTGACTGGACTGCGTATCCTTGCAACCGTCTTGACAGACTTACTAGCGGCATCATGTTCATCGCAAAGCATTCCCGTTCGGCTGAGGAGCTGCGAGCCCAGATTGCCGGACGAAGCGTGCGCAAAGAATACATTGCAAGGGTTATCGGGGAGTTCCCAGACGGAGAAGTCGTCTGCGAACAACCAATTCTATCCATATCACCCAAGCTAGGACTCAACCGCGTTCGAGCAGACGGAAAGGAGGCTCGTACTGTATTCAAGAAGCTTGCTTACTACCCCCCAGAGCAAAAGTTGGAACTAGATTCTGCACATGAGCACGCAAACACGACCGATGAGTCGGCCAAGACTACCAACGGGTCAAGCATTGAGGATGCAGGATACTCGGTGGTACGCTGTCTGCCGGTCACTGGGAGAACACATCAGATCCGAGTTCATCTGCAGCACCTCGGACATCCTATTCAAAACGACCCCATCTACGCCAATCGCAAAGTTTGGGGCACAAATCTCGGGCGCGGTGATGTTGAGGCCACAGAGAACACAGACGAGGATATTATTACGCGTCTCAATCGGATGGGCAAGGAGGAAGTGGCGGATGCAGTAGCCTACTACGATGAGATGGTCGACAAGTACCACCAGAAGAAGGCCGAGAAGATGTCGGGAGAGTTTTGCGAGGTCTGCGACACGCCACTGTACACGGACCCAGGAGAGCACGAACTCTCGCTATTTCTTCACAGTCTCCGCTATGAGGATGCTGGCGGCGCTTGGAGTTACAAGAGTGCTCTCCCTCACTGGGCTTTCCCACCCTCCGGCAGAAGCGGCCCTACTGCAGTCGGGAGTCTTGACGACCTGGTGGATGCGGTCAAGGAGAGCAACCCAGAAATCGCCTAAGTGTAGTATACCATCCCAAGGCTGCCTACATGGGCTGTTTCCGGCCTTGCGGGAACGATAACGCCCGGTCGTGACTATCTACCCCGGCGTCATGACTAGGGCGTATCGAGCACGCCACGCAGAGAGCGCTCGCTCGTCTGAAGGAAACGGTTCAATTCAGTTCACGTGCAAACAAGACCTAATGTCGGCCTCCTCAATCTTCCCCAATTGCATATGGTCAAAACAGAGATCAGCCCTAGCCATGTGTCGGCGCTTATGCGCCAGACATGCCCATGTGGTCTGCGTGCGTGGTTTCCAAGCACACCATCCATATTCACGGATTTGCCCATTGATGGTTTCTGAATAGAGTTTTTCTTTGCAGCAACAGAACACGCGAAGAAGGAAACCAATATTGGACATTCCGTACTAATGCCCCATCCCCCTCTCCCATGGCCCTTCTCTATTGGCAAACAGGCAAGATCGCCACGTGGAATCTAGTCATGATGGCACTCTTGCACATTGCTCAAGCTAGCTGGGACGGCGCTGAGCGTTAGTCTCTCCAAGGGTCCGTGATGGGATTTCTGATACGGAGAGTCAAGACTACACACCATCAGCAATGCAAATGCATAAACCACAGGCAATAAGCAACAACCATCAAATCTGTTTCTACCACTTTGCCATCGCGCGATCACCGTAGTTTTTTTTTCACTTCTCCTTCCATCAGATGGCGAAAATGCAAAATGCGATGCTGCGATATGATGGAACGTGCTGCATACCTCACACATACACACAAGGGCTGACCACGTTCCGCTTGGCTGCGCTATTCCGTAGATCAACAAGGCCACGCAGATGATTGCATTCCGCCTCTTCAAGGATCCCCGTCGATCACGGAAATTTCGCCGCAAATCTCCTACTACCACCAATGCCTACACGCAACCAACAGCCCTTTGGGGTACGTAGCGTAGCCTTAGAGGCCAATCCCCTGTCGGGCTTGGCCATTGAACCGACAATTGTATAGCAGCCAATGGGAGCAATGGCATTCATTGCAAATACGCAGCACTACGTATTTGCAGGCCTCTTTCTCTCCCATTGCCAATAGGTAGCTTGTGCCAGCCCGGCCGAGCCGAAAAGTGCCATAACTACGTACCCAAATATGCTGGTTCGGGCCTATCTTACGTTCAGTAATACACGGGCGCCGCAACCTCTGTCTTTGAAGTGTAGGATTGGTTTTTCACTTACAACAATTTGAAGGAGGGGGGACTCCATTGGCTGCCATGCATCTACAGCAC